AAGAGACACTAAGAGATTCTTGTTTCCCATGGTATCTAGGACATCATTTTCTCTGTAGAACCTTGGGAATGGGCACAGGTATGAGACAAAAACTACAGGAGATAGGGTTAAAAAAACTTATTAATTCTTGAATTTTACTTTTGATTCTGAATAGCTTCTTGCTGGTTCCAGTACCAGGATGAGGTTTGTTTCTTTTGCATGTGTGTAATTCTCTACTTCTCATTGCTCTATGTATTCCAGTGGTCTAGTCAGAAAGGAAATTAAGAAGAAGAGAAGAAAAGAAGGAGGGAAGGAGAGAAAAAAGAATGTCTTTATTTCCTGCAAATAGTTGCCACTACAGTTAGAGAAATAAGAAATCAACAAAATGAATAAAATATAAATATTGCTGGCCCAAGCATCTGCAGTTTATTACAAGCCTCTGCCATGGCAATGTATGTTCTTTTTTGCTTGAGCTCTCCTACTCCACACTTTGTACTCTCCTCCATGTTCAGTCTGTTCTTCATCTTCTTCTAGATTATTACAATAGAACCAAGATAATTACCCAGCAAAGGCTATGGCAATATGTGTGCAAAGTCAATTTTGGAAAAAAATCAATAAATAAGACATAAAATAAAAATAAAAATAAATACATCCCAAACAGGTCTTTTTATTTAACATAAGGCCAAAGAAGCTATCAGGCGTTGCTGAATACTGTCCACTAGCTATACAAAATAGTCTGCATGCCTTGCAAACACCAAAATATCCGCTGGAATGCCATAGAAATAAATAACTTCTGCTATAAACACATGAAAACATATCAAACTGTTATTTCTTTAAACATATTGTAAATAAAAAATTACCAGTACTTCTACACAATAAATATTAAGAAACCATTGACATAGTTGAAATGCACTCATATAAATTAACAACTTTAATTACATTAGCCAAATAGACATTGGTTAAAGAACTGCATGTAGTATGCCAAAGGAAAAAAAAATAACACAAAATAAAAATAAAAACACACAAAACAAACAACATCAACCACAGAACATAAAAAATTTTAAAACAAAACAGGCTTCAGATTATCTTGGCTTTTATAATTATATTTTTCTTTTCAAGAAAAATATCAACCCATTGTCAATGCACTGTTTTCCAAAGCATTTAAATAGAGGGTAAGACCCACTGAAAATTAATACAGAAGAAATGATTCACTTTATGCATATAAATAAATAATATAGCTGAGACATGTGGTTTGTTTCTGCTCTTGAAGGTGCGGAACAGCTTCTAAGCATTCATTTGCTCTGACCCATACAATAGCTTCTCAGTAATACAGGGTTTAATTTAAACACATACAGTGTCCACCCCCAAATCTTCTGCCCACATCTATAAGTTTCATTTATTATGTAGATTTTCAGGGTGACTACGTTTTTTCTATACTTAAAAGGGAGGTTGCCAAAAGGCCCACAGGAAATCATGTTTTCAAGTGAATGTGATAATTTGAATCTCTGTATAATGCAATTGAGGCATATTTGTTTGTATTTAGAGTCCCCTCTTGAAACCAATTCCTACAAGGGTGAAAAAATTTTTGTCCTTGCTCTAACTTTGAGGAGACTGTAAGAACTCCTCTTGAAAATGGAGTGTGGAATCAATCTTAAATGAACCTGAAATCAGCTGGTGTGCTAGGTTAACAAAATCCCAGTAAGTGTGTTGAGATTTGTCTTACTTTTTTTTTGGGGGGGGGAAGAAAATGAGAATTCAATCTGAAATCCTTGTTATTTTGAGATATTGAGGACAAGTGCTTTTTAGAGCTTCTAAAATTAGTGTGGGCAGATACTTGAGAGCATAGAGTTCAACCTCAGAGTAAAAGTGGCAAAATAGTAAGATCAGCTAGAGATACCCTCTTATATCGACAGAGTATTAAGAACCCCAAGAGGGTAGAATTTAAAAGCTTTTTATTTTGGCCTAATGTGGCTACGTGAAAAGACTGATTGTTCAGAAGGCTCTGTCACTTTTGAGGTTGTTCAAGATGGTAAAATAATGTCTCCCAATATTAAAGATGGTAGCAATTTATACTTCTGTCTCAAGGCCATATAACCTTAAATGAAACAAGGTTAAAATTTGTGGGTGTTTGATAACCCAAGAATTTACCATCCAATTGCAGTACTGTCATACAAAATTTCACTTCACTCTGTTTATAATTACCGTGGCCACTAATCAAACACCAGCTTACCCCTGTATGTCTAGGACTCAAAGGGCTTAACACAATGGCAGGTTGATTTGAGATGAATGGGAGCTATGTAAAGCTGTCTTTGTAGATTCCTGTTTTTCCCATGGCCTTAAATTTCACCACCATTGCACAGTGAACTAGGCCTTACATCCTCACACTATTTCCATAGGTTCCAGTGTTATTTCCAGTATCAAAAAAAAGCAGTTCAAAGGCCCTTGAAGTTTTTGGTTAGAATTGGAAAATTGGCCATCTCCTCCTCTCCCCAGCTTTCTTCAACAATCCCACCTTCTCCACATGCATGATGCCCAAGGTTGAGAGATCTTAACTGGAACCCATCCAGAGCCTTGCACACAGCACAGGCTGTGTTTACTGCATACAACAGGCTGGGTCCTTAGGAAAGAATAAGGCTATGTGCCCAGTAACAAGACCAAGGGAATCTGCCCGTGCACCTTATGTTATACATACTGAGTCTAATTTTAAACCAGTTATTGTCCTATCAGGTTTCTCACTGATAATTTATTCTCCTCTGACTGCTTTTTAATCTATGAATTGACACATGGCTAAGAGTATCACCGTATTACAGAATACTGATGAATGTAATCTTTCTTAATTAGAATTTTTTCCAATTTTTACAAACTTCAAATGTCAGTAAAAATAAGGCTCTCTATTTTAAGTGCATAGATAAATAACTTATTAGTTGTCCTAGGTAAGCAAAATAGTGAAATAAAGTAGAGACAGCTAGCGTTAAGCATATTCTTTGATGGCTACAAGACAGGTTTTTTGTTTGGTTTGGTTTGATTTTCTTTTGTTTTGTTCTTGCATCTGAACCAGAACATACAAAGCTATACATCAAGAGCTTTGGCAGCAAATTAAAATAGTAGAGTTGTACTACTGCCCTCATTCCTGCCTCCTAACTCTTCTCTTCCTGAATTTCCACTCCCATTAACACTTTTCTGGAAAGATTTAGCTTTGACCTAGGAACAACAACACTATTTGACCCAGCTGCTGTTGTAAGTAGTATCTCTCACATTCAGATCTCAAACAAACCAAAAATGCATTTGACTCTTATTCTGGTCTGAAGGTTTTGTGATTTTTTTTTTCTGGAAAATGTTTCTGATTTAAGATTGATTCCAATATTCCAATAGATAATAAATATAAAGCAAAAAAAAAAAAATCAGCCCACAGTTTTTGATTAGCATTTTGTTTTCCCCACAGGGGATAACTTGTAGGAGGTGGGGAGCAAGAAAGACAAAGGAATTTGATCCCTGTACATTTACAGAGGGCCTTGCTGAGTACTCACTGGAATTTTCAGGCATGTGCCTTCCAAATTTTTGAAATGTGCCCACCTAGTTCAGAGTAAAAGCAAAAACTATATAGCCTATCCTTCTTAAAAATACTGTGTTTTGCACACAAACATTCATTGCTTTAAGAACATTAAAAAAAGACAACCTGAAGTGCTTAAATCGTGTATGGACATGGTACAATACACGTATATATACACACAGGTATGCGTATGCACAAGCGATGTATATATACACATACAAGCATGTAATCTCATGAATTTGATTGAACTTGATATCCAACAGTGTACAACTACTGTACATCCAGTATGAAATGTCCTGTTTCATGGATGTCCAAAGAGTCAAAAACCAAACTTCACAGGTCCTTTAAGCCTTAACGCAATGCACCCTCCTCCACCTTGACTCTCAAGCCCTGACTCACTGGTGGCGAATGAGACCAATCACAGACAGACTGTTCAAAGGCTCACACGAATGTCTTTGGTGTATGTGTCTATTTTTTAAGGTACAAAATAATAATAATAATTATAATTATAATAATAAAAATAGCTATTTTGTGTGCTGTAGCAGTTCTTTTATAGCTCACATTAAGTGCAGCTCTTAAACCCCGCCCCCGCCCCCACCCAAAGAAAATACTTGTTAAATAAGGATTAGACAGGTCAAATACCATTGTAGTGCAAATAGTAAACGATAAAAAAAAACAACATTTACAAAATATAGAAATGTTTGGATCCAACAGATGGACAAACATATTCCTTTCAAGTATCTCTCCTTGAAGAAAATAAAAATTAATCAGGTTATTTCCAATACAAAAAAGTCTCTCTTTTTGTTCTCTCTCAGGTAAACAGTTTCAAACGTATTAGGTTGCATAGTTCTAAGATCAGAAGCACCTTAACGAATTGTAACTTGGTATTCGTTTTTCCTTGATCTTTCCTTCTTCCCACTCTTGTTGTCAATTTTTTTTTTTTGTTTTTGTTTTTTTGTTTTGTTTTCTATGTTGGTTTTGTGTTGTCTTGTTGCAATCATGGTGCAGAAAAAGAAAGTGTGACTGCCTGCACGCAGTTGTTGTTACCATTATGTGCATGTAGGTTGTGTGTGCAAATGCCTGTGTGTGTATGCGAGTGTCTGCTGATATACACGAATATAGTGTCACACAGACATACCGATGACCTGGGTGACTGGGTGGGACTGGCCCTTTTAAACTCATGGCTTTCTAGACATTATTTGGGTTGTGCTAGTCTACACGGACACAGACTAGACGAATTGATTTTGAGGTTCTCGAGGGAACCGCAGCGGCGAAAGGACAAAACCCCATCTAAACAACTGATGGCATCAGTTTGATTCTGGAAGAAATGAAGGGTACCCCTTTCTCCCTTTCCCTCCCAACTCCTGTCTCCTTCACTGCTTCATCTCTGAGCCCTGGCTAAGGATTTTTTTTTCCACATCTTCCTTCATCTGTTTCAGGTTCTGTTTTTAGTTTAGTTTTTGTGGTTTTGTTGTTGTTTTTTTTTTAATTTTTTCAAAAATTTCTATGTTTTCTGGTTGCTTAACTCAGAAACCTTAAAAAAAAAATCTTCATTTTTGCCACTGTCTTCGCCCGGCAACTCTAGCTCCCTTTCCCCCCACGCCGGGTAACTCTAGGAGCACCCGCACTCTTCCACGATCATGTTCTGAATGTCCTTTTTGATGATGTTTTGGCCATCATCATAGTACAGCATCGACATAGGTCTCAGCTTGGTGGGCACACAGCATGACTTGAGGTTGGCAAAGGGGCTGTGACCCCGCATGCGGTAGTGGTTGATAACTGTTGAGTGGAAGGAAAGCGAGGACCCCGACGTGCCTGCTATGTGGCTGGGGCACTCACCCTCACAGTAGTTGGCATGGTAGCCAGAGGGAGCAATGATCCAGTCATTCCAACCAATGTCTTTGAAGCTGACGAAGAATTGCTTCTTACAGCAGATGTTGACCTTGCCGTCACACTCCAAGCCCCGCCGGCGCCTGCGGTGAGGATGATCTTCAGACTGCCTGGCTTGTAGCATGAGGAAAGGTCTGTGTGACTGCTCCTTCTCCTCCTCCACCGTACCTTCTCCTCCATCCTTCTTTTTCCCGTCTCCCTCTTCTCCTTTCTTCTTCTTCTTGCCCAGGAGTACCAGGCTGGCCCCGCTCTCCTGGCACTGCTCGCAGGCAATCCGCATGTCCAGGGAGGTCTTTCCCTGGTCCAGCAGCCTCTGGATGCTGCTGGAGACAGGGAAGATATGCCAGGTGCTCTTCCGTGCATCCACCACCTTCTCCGACAGCAACTGTTCACTCCTATCCCCCTTTAGGCCCTCTTCCTCGGCCTCATCGCCTGTGTCCAAGCTTCCCTGTGGGTGCTTCTGCTGCTGGAAGAGACGGATGGTGACTTTGGTCCTCGTTCTGTTGGCCTTGGGGACTTTCAGGAAGAGCCACACTTCTGCACGCTCCACCACGGACAGGTCACTGCCTTCCTTGGAAATCTCAAAGTGCAGCGTCTTTCTGGCTGAGCCTGAAAAGGAAACAGCACAAGAGAAAATAGGGACACTGGTTAATTCATATCCAGTAACTACACTCAGTCCAGGAAAGCAAGATCTCAAACTTTGCTCAGCAAACTGATAGCCATGGGTCACCTGCTCCAAGAGAGCCACCGGCTAAGAACTGTCTCTATAGTTTTAATGGTTCAAGAAAAACATTATGTATTTTGTGAAACTTACCTGAAGTTTGAACCTGGGCCTGCAAATAAAGTCCCCTTGGATTAAAGCTATGTTCATGTCTTTGTATGTTGCCAGTGGCTACTTTAGCATGATATAACAGGAATTGGAAATTATGACAGATTCCGGACCACAAAGCCTAAAATATTTACTCTAGCCTCATACAGAATCATGTTTGCAAGTGCCCATGCTAGAAGGAAAAGGGCCCAGTGGTCTCACTGGCTGCTTAATCTGCTTAATCTATTTCGTCTTCCATAAAATGGGAATGACATAATGACATTGGACCTATTATTTCAGATTTTGCAAGGATCGAGTGTGCTAATATAAAGGAAAGCAGTCTGTAAGGCCCTGCAAGCTAGGAAGATGTGTGCACACAGAAAGACAAGCACCTGCTTCCATGGCCTGGTGTGGACAACTGGGGGCAGCACCTCCTGATCAGTCTCCTGCTTGTCAGCCCCACCCCCCACACCTAGTTCCTGGGTCACTGCTGCACAAGATTCTTCATGTAGTCTCTATGGTATTGCCAGACCCCTCTTTAGTCAGTTCTCAGTAAAGCCACTAAAGGAATCTTTCCCATCGGTCAGGTCTCATGCCACCTCCTCTTCCCAGTTCATCCCTAACTTCCTCTTGTTCTCAGCACCCCATAGAGACTTCTGGCCCTGCCCAGGCCCTGTCCTGCATGGTCCAACTGAAAGTGCTTGAAAATTCCATGAGTGCCCCTTGCTGCTCCTGGAGCCTAGGGTCCTCCTGGCCCTGCCACACTCTCAGCACTCTGTCCTTCCTTCACGCTAACTTTAATAATGCAGATCGGACAGCACTTCCTTCAGAAGACCCCCAACCTCCACCCCCCACCCCACCCCCCATCTCCTCCACTAGCATCCTCTTCTCAAGTCTGTTTAAGACACCTGAGGCCTGAGGGCTGATCTATTTCCTTCACTGCTATTTCTTGGTGTTTAGCAGAGAGTCGGCTATTAATACATTATTAACTAACCAGGCATGGTGGTGCACACCTGTAATCCCAGCACACTGGGGGAGCTGAGGCAGGAGCATTGCAAGCTTAGGCCCAACCTGGGCAACTTGGTAACTTAGAGATAGACTGTCTTGAGGTAATAAAAAGTAAGAAAGGGCTAGGGATATAGCTCAGTGCAAAGCCCCTCATTCAATCCCCAGTACCACACATGCACATACAAAATAAAGCATCCTTAACATTGAATTATATGAAACTATTAGAGCCACCTCCTGCCCCTGAATCCATCCATCCCTTTAGAATGCATCAAATGAGCATGAAAAGCATATTTCCGATAGCAACTCCAGTTGACCTAGGGAAAATCCATGTATTGCCAGGGTGGTTCGATTCAACAACCACTCAGTCCTATTTGACTCTAAAATTAGAAAATCAGTTCTCTCTCTCTTTTCACATGCACCTGCACAGTGATTATGCAGCACCCTTTCCTAGGTAGAAGGAGTAGGTATCCTGAATCAAGTTCCTTAATAAATCAAGCATTTTTCCTCATTCCTGGGTGTCCCCTGGGTGGTAGACAGAGACATCTTTCTGCCTGACCGTGTGCCTACTTAACAACTGTCCACTATCCGTGTATCCCAGGGCCAAATCTGGGAAGCATCTCCAAGAAGTTCATCCTAGAAGTCGCAATTCCCTCAGAGGATCGCCTTGCCTGGATTCCTATAGCTAACGGAAACCCAACTGTACTTATCACTCCAGGCCCTGAGATGTTTACGGCACTATAAATTTTAGGCACAGTTTCAAGTTCTCCGCAGCAGAAGGCAGGCTTCTCTGCGCACTGTGCACTGCCGACTCTGTTCTTAATTTAACACACTCTGCACACTGTGATTATGATAGTGGGAAATTCACTGAGACCAGGGCCAAGAGGAGCTGCATATGGACATGAGGCATTCTCTGGCATCTGCCTCTAACCTTGCCACGAGGATGGCAACAGTGGCTTGGGAGTTCCTCAGACCTCATATCTCTGGCAGGAGTTGAAATGAATAATAAAGCAGAGTTTAGGATTTGATAGAACCCAGAGTGGGGAGCAGTGAGGGGGGAAGCTGTCTTATTTTAGGATGCATGATGACTTTGAAAAAAAAGAAAAGAATCCTGTCCTACCCATTGCAAAGACAGGGTTGGTCTTTGGTGGTTGTTTGTGTTTTTAAGAAAATGAAATATTCTAGGAAACAGAGTTTAATAATAGCAAACAACAGCTGACTTCTCAGTGGTGGGGTCCTACCCTGTTGAGACCACTGCAAAGTATCCCAGCCTCTCCATAATGGCACATCCACCCTATTCCTGGAGAATTCTATTCCTGCTGTTTTTTGTCCTGTGCTTTCAGGCAGGACAGCTTCCGAAATCCTAAACTGCACAAAGCAAGTCCCTCTACAGAGAGAGAGACAGTAGCGGCTAGATTAGAGAGGCCAGAGGCCACCAGGCTGCCTTTTGATTTTCTAGGAAAGAGTTTAAGACTGTGCCCTGTATGGAGAGACCCACAGGTTTTGGGGACCACACCCCCAGCATCCACTCTGCGTTCCTCCACACTGGGCAGCAGGTCAGAGTGAGGGGTGGGCTGCCAGTGCTGAGCTTTAATGCTGGACTTCTCACAAATAAAGTCCAGAGCCATCCAGACGCTTGGGGTTGTGGGATGACAGAGGGTTAATCCGGTAGCTGGAAATAAGTGACAGAGGCATGCAAATTGCTTCTGTAGGGCCAGCAAGGCCAGAGACCAGAGCTTCCTGTCACACCAGTCTGCAGGCCAACCCCCCCCGCCCCCATTTCACAGGAGCAGGTTGCCCATGGAAGATCTAGCCCCACCCCATCTTCACAGGCAGCTGTACTTGGAAGCAAATGATTTAGTGTTCCTGGGAGAGGATTGTACAAAGAGAGTGCTCATTAGAGGGGGCTCAATCTGTCAGGTGCTGTTATATTAGGATCACTAGAGTCATCATAAAATTACTTTCATGCTGGTCTTGGCTGATAACTCACTGGATGGCATTGCCCATGTATTGTGAAGGCTCAGGCACTGATTTACGCATCAGTTTAATTATCCAAACTGAAAGAGTCTGCTCTCTGTGTTCACATCCACTGCCTGCATGCTTTCTCTCTCCCCCATATTTCTGACATTTGGATTTTCCCCCTACTAATTGACATGCCTGCCGCCTCCTTCTCCTGGTGTCCATTTCTGGAACTGCTATTTGTATATTGCATGATATTTTATCAGGGGGAAAAATAAAACTGAGATCCAATTTCACGAAAATGCTGTTTGCCATAATGCTCAGGAGGACAGGGGGAAGAGAGAGAGTCAAGTCTTCCTACTGTCTACCCCATGTGCAGGTACATTTTACAAGTTCTATTGTATTCTGACTTATTAAGCAGTGCATATATATATTTTTTTCTTTTACATTAGCTCATTGCAGAAGGGGGTGGGGAGAGCTAGCTGGCTGGAGGCTGACATGGGATTACTGTTTATCAGAGCTGTCGGTTTCAGAAATATATTACAGCCCTCAGATATCTCAGGGATGGAAAATGTAATAAATAACAGGACAACTCAGTCCATTCCTTTATCTCTCTATTACCTGAGAGAAATTGCTGCACTCCAGTGCCGCAGAAAGTATAGCCCAATCTGCAAATCTCTGCGCATAACAATTTGAAAAATGGTAGAAGCCTGCCTACAGCTGAGGTGTTTAGGATCAATTTCCAATCAGTTTGAGGTGTGATTTAAATAGCTGCTGCTATGAAACCCTGACATGGAAGCCTCCCCCTAATGCCTCATAGCAGGTACGATGTTTCGTTTGTACAGGTGTGCTCTGCGTTTCTGCACGATTTCTAGCTAATCAGAGAGAGTTGGTTGCTTTGCTAAGCTTTCCTTACCTGTGTTCTGGCAATATTCTTTTCATCCTCTATGCTCTCTTTTTTTCCCCCTTCCTGTGGCTTGTGAGCAATGCTTGTATCATAGCCAGCTCTGCCTGAGTAATTCACTAAGAAAAATCCCACGCAACCTTAAGTGGGTGATAATATCTCATCATTTAAACCCCTAGGAGCATGGTGGACACATACCAAACGGGGAGAAAAATGGTGCAGAAAAAATGGGTAGGGATAAATCTTGTACCTTGCAGGGAATGCCTCTGAAATGCTGTCTGGTTGATGGGGTGGACAGAAGAAAGACTTTGCGGGCTGAAAGCAAAGGTGTCCCCAGCCCATTCTTCTTTGCCTTCAGGGCTTGAAACAATTTAATCATGGAGGCATGGCAAGGGTTAAGAAGCCAGTCCTTTGTTCCCTCCCCCCACATTAGGACACAGAAACAAAACAAAAACAAAAACAGAAAATGGTGCTCATCCAAAAGTCCAGCATCTCACATTCGTGGGTGTACGAACATTTGCAATTAAATAAGCAATGCACACATGTAGCACTTTGGTTCTGTTTTGTTTTGTTTTCCTCACTAGGGTCCTGCATAAAGTATGCTTCCCTTTTGCATACAGCTGATAATTATGTCTCTAATGTTAATGTGGAAAGCGTTACTGTTTGTGGAGTATATTTAAATTCGCCAGGGAGGGGTTGCTGTAAAAAGCATCCGTTACTTTAATTTTCCATCCTTAATCAAAGTCTCCCTGTGCCTAGATATGGTGTAGTCGATGGTGGCAGCTTACAGAGCTATCCTTTAGAGTAGCTAAGTATATGTACATTCACATCTGGACTGCATCCAGGGCTTTCTGCAGAAGGCAGCCAGTGAGGTCTAAAAGGTTATTTTCCCTTTGACCTACAGTAGAGGATCTCGCCTGGAGTAGAACTACAGGTTTGATTATAAATTATCTTGATAATTTGTTAAGCTTTAATACCTCTCCTTAGAATTCATTATTGAAATGTTGTAAACTTTTAGCCACACACACTTATCATCCATGCCTCTTCCCCTAAATAATGGTGAATAATGTTAAATACTTGAGGGGAAAGGTTTTTGTTTTTTTTTTTTTTTTTTTTTTTTTTTAGCTCTCTATACGAAACAGAAAAAATCCCCAAGGTTCAACCCATGCGATATGAGAGACTTCTTCCAAAGTTCCTGCAAACTTTTGTACTTTTGATCTTAGACATAAGAACCACTGAAAGATGAATAATTCTGAGTTACAGCTGAGAGATCACTTTCAAGTATTTCTGAGCAGGAGAAGGGCCAAGACAAATACGTATTTTCGTGAAAGATGCATTTGACAGTATAACTTCAGTTCCCCATGTATGAAAATTGTGTTTCTCCCCTAACATCTCCCCCACCCCACTTCAGGAAACAGACTCCTCAGGCCAAACCCCACTATTAATCTCTTCCTTCATCTCTACATCTCCATTCTCTCTGCATCTTCAGTTCCAAAGCACACATATCCTCTTCACCCCAACACCATTTTCCTAACCATCATTAAACAAATCCCCTTTTACTCTCTAGTAGAAGTCACTTGTCATTTGTGGCTGGTGCAAAGCATTGATAAGGCAGGCAAATTAAGGCACAAGGATCAGGGGAGACGGAAGGTGTTTTTGCAAAACCTAGGCGACTCTGTTAGGGAGAGACTGGTGAGCAAATCAGTATCGCTGATGATTCATGGTCACATTTCTCCCCTCTCTGCTTTGTTTGCTTTTGAAATGTATCACTGCCTGTGCTTTCCATAGAGCTCGGGAATGTTCTCATGGATCACTAGCGCTCCCATCTCCATGCCTTCTGGCTCATTTAATGTCTTACAGGTAGTCATGCTTCTCCCATCCCACAAAATCCTTACTTTTTCAGGAGGGTGAGAAAGAGGAAGACGGAAGTCACAATCACAGGATTAAGGGCACTACAGACTGGGGCTTCCAGTAGGCACAATTGCTTTCCCCAGATTAGCTGATAAAAAGCAAAAGTCTTTGGAACGCGCCCTCTTGTGGTCATTTTTCCCCCTTATTCAGAGTAGAAAGCCTGTAACCCCTAAAGATTCAGAGGTTCAGTGGAGGGTAATTCACAGGAAAGTTCAGAAGATAGGCGGGAAATGGAATGGTGGGAATCAACCTGCTTTAAAATGCCTTTCTAGCTAGAGTGGGGGTGGGGAGAGATATGCAGAATCAAGTAAGCCTCATCAGTCCCCCATCAGGGCATGGCATCCCCCAAGAAAGATTTATTTATGTGCCTTTCCAGCAACAGCAAGGCAGGGGGAGGGAAACATTATCCACTTCTTGATGTATCATTTGTCTTTCTTTCCCTGTCCTTTCTACAATAATTACTATCAACTGCTAAGTTAATTATGAGATTCAACATTTGGCAGGAATGAAGACTCAATGGTCTATTGTTATTATACATTGACAGACCAGCTACTGTCATAAGTCAAAAGCAGATGAAATGAGAACTATCAGCCAAGAAGGTCTCTGATTTTAGTTGTGTTGGCAATTAAAATCGTAGTTGGCTTGGCTTCATTCATCCCTATCTTTCTTTTGAAAATAAGAACTGACAATAAACATGGAGAATTTGGAGCCAACCATGCAAAGAATGCAGTAAACTTGGGGCGCAATTTGGGTTGGTGACTGTAAAAATGAAATAATTTTTACTTGTTGAAATGAATTTCAGAGCATTAGAATGATTTCCCACTGCTTAATCAATAATAGTCCCCTAGCTTCACTGACCTGGGGGGGGGGGGTTACTTTCAACCCGAGAAAATGAACTGAATTCAATGAAAACAGTTTAAGCGATGTTCACTTTTGTAGTCACTTTACTGCAATGACCATGTCTTAACTTTATCCAAGAAGCAAGGAGGGAGCAGGACAAAGTTAAACATTCATCCCCAAACTGAGGAATCATGGAATTGAAAGTTGCATCTGTAGCACACTTCTCGGTGACACTTAGTGATGGGATTCTGTACTGTGCAAATAGTTCTAAAGAAAAGAAAAATTCATGACTATTACTATTCTTCAAGAACCCTGCCATTCCACATTGTTGAAAAGTTACAAAGTTGAATTATTCCAAAAGACATAAGATTTCACTATTCATTTTCATATATTCACTACAATCATTCAGATCATAAAAATGTTCCCTGGGCTGGCAAAATTAGCAGAAAAATGCTTACATGTATGGTAGGTACTTTTCTTGGAAACTAGGTTGTCCGCATAGCAATCACAAAATCGGTGAAATTATATGAAATCAACTTAAAGTCAATGTGTACAACTTCTCAGAAGAGAAAAATAAGCAACTGTAACATAAACCACTCCTAAGAATCCAAAGTCAAAACATAAACTCAACCAAGAAGAGATTTCGCATTACAAATCTTACACGTTCATCAAAGTGTAAGTCCAATGAATTGCTTCATTTTCTCTTTCACTAAACACCAGAAAAGGAAAATGACAAGATTCTGTACAACTTGAGAGAAAGATTGGCACTGAGATGAAGGCCATAAGTAAGAAAGAATGTAAATGGCCCCATTCTTTCACTGCCAAATTCTAAACGCCAAGAGAGTGAGTTTCTATTCAAGTCCAGCAAGTCTGAAGGAGAGAGACACTGCCAGCACTCTCTGTGGAATTTAAAGTGTCAAAGGCACAGGTATCCTGCTTCATATGACGCTGTTAAAGCCAACTGAATAGGAGCTATGCATTTGAGGCTGTCATAAATGGGGGATATAAATATTATATGGGTCCCTTCTGGTCAAGATAGGGAGTAGTTCTCCACACCACTGAGATCCACTCTACACACAAGGCCCGATATCATGAGCATTTTCTTTTGTAACTTTCTACCATGAAAGACTGAGGCAAAATTAGGTAGTAACGTGAAAACTGCTCATCAGCATCCTTCATAGCCTTATCCTCCATAAGCATCAGATGGTATAGTCACAGTAAGCGTGCTTTGCGGCCACTGCATCAGGAAAGAAAAGTGGGACCTTCGCTAAATTACAGAGACTTCTGGGGAGCAATCTACCAAGTCAGGGAAGCTGGTGGAACACTAAGATTTCTCCTGCAGAGGAGTCCAGAAGCCAGCAAGCACCCCCAAAAGGATACCCAGGTCTTATGCCCACTTTCTTAAAAACAGAACATCTGAGTCAACAGGTTTTCAGGACTGGAAATTCTGAGTGTTGCCTTAATTGTTTACACTGCTGCAACAAACTTTTAAACAAAATGCTGGGAGTCCCTGCACATACTTTACTGGCCATATGCTCTATCACACAAAACAATGGCATTCCTTTCAAATGGATTTGGCAAGGGATCCAATTCTTCAGCCTGGCGTTACCATGAAAGCAACATGGTATTAACACATCTGTGTACCCAGCCTGCATGCGCGTGTAGGCATGAGAAAGATCTGTGTTCCATAACTATTAAAAAAAAAAAAAAAAGTACAGCTCCAAATCCCAGCTCATACTTTGGACAGGTATTTTGCATTCAGCAACAGGTTGTTGTGGTCCTGGGCCAATGAGGGGAATCTATTTATTAAAGCTCTTCCCCTTAAGGACCGATTGAGAGTTTAACACAGTATCTGAGAACTCCATCAAGGTTACATTCTTTAGCACGGAGTTCTTAGTAACTTTACAAAGAACAAAACTGAGTTTTGGTGTATGTATGGGGGGGGGTCCATTTCGCTTTTCCATTTTTGTTCAGAGAACAGATGCCAGGCTCCCCCAGTGACCTCTGATTCGGTATCAACTGTCCCCCAAAGTAGCTCTTCACTGCCTAGGATGTGCTGTGCACACTGAGACAGATTCTAAAGGTGAAAAGAAAGGACTGTCACTAGTAAATGTGCCCTGAGTCTCTGATGTGGCCCCATTGGATTTTTTTTTAAAGGGGCAGGCTGACTTTAAGACAATGACTTCATCTGTGTCATTGCAGCTGGTTACCTGGGCACCCTCGCCCCCTACGCCCAAGAAAAACTTTGGATGAGCTCCAGAAGCTCCCGCTGCTCCCCAAATACCGGAATGTGCCCTGGCGCTTGCCCAGGCTTCTCCGATCTGGTTTCACAGGCAGGGGAAGGGAGCCCCTCACAGACTGGCCCGGGAGCTTCCTCCCCGGGGACAGCTGAGTTTAACAAGTGTAAGCTGGTACACTCCAGACAGACTCACCCAAGATTTCCCTTTCTGTGTCGTCCTCTCCCACTCCCCTACCTCCCCTCTGTCCGCCACCATCCCCTCTTAACTGATCACCTTCGCAGGCAGCTTCCAGCTGGAGGGAAGAGAAGTTCCTCCTAGGACTGTCAAAGAAATCTATTTTACTGCCCCCGCCCCACCCCCGCCCGCCAAAGCCAGCACCGACCTGATTCCGCGAACGTGATGATCTCCGAGGTCTGCTCCAGCAGTTCATTCATTTCTGCCCTCCTGCCGATGTCATCTTCTATCTCCACGTACCCGTTCTCCCCCACTTTGCCCACATGAAGCTTTCTGATCGCGTTCAGAAGCGCCGCCTTGGGCACCGGCTGGGTGACATCGGGTCTCTTCTTCAAGTGCAGCATGTTTAAGATGTGCTTCTTAACGGCTTCCACCATCTCTGGCTGGGAGTTGGGTACATCCTTTGGGAGGGTGGCCAGCGCGCAGGAAGGACAGTTGGCTGCACCGTGCCCCTCGGACCCCGGGGTGGGGGAGCTCTTCACTATAATCCAGCAACTTGCCCACAGAAATCCTCGCAGCCAGAGAAAGGGCATTCTGGCAGCAAAAGTTGTTGTGATTGCCTCTTTAAAAGGCCTCGCTTTTCCTCCCCCCTCACGCACAGGTTTTTTTTTTTTTTTTATTTTTTTTTTTTTTTTCTTTTACTCATCAGCAAATTCTCTGGAACAAGAGCAAAAAGTTTTCTGTGAAGTTTTGTTTGCAGGTTCTCTCTCTGAAGGCAGTCAGTGTTGTAGGTTTGTGGC